AAACGCAAGCTGGCCGAGCACGACAACCTGAAGATCACCATCGAGCAGACCGGCGACAAGTTCCACATCAAAGAGTCCAGCACTTTCCGCACCAAGGAGATCGACTTCTCTCTGGGCGTCCCCTTCGACTACAGCCTGGCCGATGGCACCGAAGTCTCGGTGAGTGGCCAGCAGTGACCGGGAAAAAAACACCACCGGAGACGGTTTGCTTTAGGAAAATGTTTCATGAAGATAGATTAAAGGATTGCAACGGAAACATGGAAACCCAACACGCACAAGTGGGACATACTGTATGAGGAGAGTAACACCAGCCTCATAAAGCCTTTTTTTTCCTCAGGGCTCATGGGAAATGGAGGGTGAGATGCTGAAAGGAAAATTCACCAGGAAAGACAACAACAAGGTCCTGACCACCACGAGAACTCTGGTGGGAGGAGAGCTTGTGCAGGTCAGTGTGTGCAGATGCCCCAGACGCTGTGGCGCCATAATCCCAAACCATTCCATAAACCGGCCACGCCTTTTTGTTTTATCTACAGAGTTACAACTACGATGGCGTGGATGCAAGGAGGATTTTCAAGAAGCAGTGATCTGGATTCCGGAGATCGCATTTTTAATGTTTTATAGAGATGACATTGTTTTTTTAACAACAGGACATAGATTATGTGCTCTGTAAAGGTATTTCATTGCTCATACCTCATAATTTTTTCAGTTTTTATACAGTTCTGAAGGACAAAGGTATCACGGTGCTGTAATGCTTCCACATCTGACAAACAATGTGCTGGTAAATGTTGCCTTCTGGAAACCATCGGCAGGTCACACAAAGGCAGGAAGTCTGTTGGAGCAAACGAAACACGTACCACACCAATCACCTGTTTCCTTAAACACCATCCTAAAATGACTACAGGGCTCTTTATCCAGATTACATCAAGAGTATTTTCTTATTTCTAAGGTGCCATCATCACTGAATTAATTAGTGGGAGAGACTTAGGGGGGAAACATGGAGCTTCCCTCATGGTAAATGTCATTTGAACAGTGCCTCCATTGCTCAGGGATTTCTGTGGAGCAGAACATCAGCTGTTTCTATTATAACTTTTTATCTGTGGGTTCCAAAGGGCATTCCAAACGCCATGAGCAACATCAAAGCCATTCTGTTAACTGTCCCAGACAAGAGCAGCATAAAATGAGATATTAAGACCCTAAACATTTTGAAAATATGCTGATTTGCACATGTTTCCATCATACAGCCTGTTTCAATTAAAGCAGATTTTATGTATCACTCAGTCTATCATTTGCCTTATTGAATGTGTTGTGTTATGTGTGAGTCACATGTGAAACACGGGGTCAAAGAGGGGAGGCTTGTTTCTTCCATGGTGCTGTTACACATCAGATGCTGGTGATTGTGCTTTATGGGGGTCGTAATTCCAAAGTAACCATTTCAAAGCTAATATAGAAATTTCAAAGCATGAGTAAGTCTGATTTCAATTTGAGCAGTGCAGAGGTCGTATTTAATTTAGCTGTCATGTGCTGGCCTTTGAGTGCCCGTATGTTGGCTCATCACATGATGATTATACAGAGCGACAACCAACAAAGCAGTTCATTCAGTGGTTTGAAAAAGCGTCCTAATCAACTTTTCTTCTGGTCATGGGAATAAATTAAAAAAAACGCACAACTGCGATGAATGATTGTGGCCAGAAGAGGGCACCCTGCTCCCACTTTTATGTGATAGCTACAGTGAGAGGGTTTAGAGCTGCATGGAGAAGTCATCAAAACGTTTTTGCTGTTTTTAATACTTTGGATCAATCATATTATCAACAACTGTTTGATTGAGCTTTCCTTAAACTACCTACATGGAAGGTGGTAGTGCTTTGAGTTTTTCCTGAACATATGCTGGGGAGAGAAGTCCCCAGACACTCTGCAGGTGCCCAGGGGTGTTAGTAGACTTTAGTTTTCTTTCTTTTGTTTGTAGGTGTCCATTCCAAACTGCCCTGAACAGTTGAGGCAAAAGACGGTTTTAACAGATGGATATACGGGTTCAGTTTTTCTCTCAGGGTAATACTACATAGTAGATGATACAAGCACCCGATCCAGCTCTGATTAATGCTACGTACAGTAAAAAGCAGGTGTGATGTTGTCACATGGCCATTGAGTAGTGCTGTTGAGCTCTTTATTTTCTATGGAAAAGGGCCTGGCTGGTGTATGATGTCATGCAGAGTCAGGCTATCATATGACAAACACACAGGGAGCCACACACACAGAACTACATAATTATTGGACCTCAACTTAAATTATTAAAACAATATCACCCTGCAATCGTCTTGAATCTGTCCGAGGAGGCTGAAGCAGCGTAAAATCAGTGAGAAACAAGGAAGTCGTGGGAGAGTCAGCCTTTTGTGTCATGATTTCTGAGAGACCGAGAGTGATGGGGCCCACCCACGGGAGGTGGAAGCTGTGGGTGAGCAAAGAGGATGAAGAAAATAACGGGAGGTGGACAGGGGAAAGACACAGCGAGGACAAGAGGGACATTTAAAGGATGGTGCAGGAAGAAGCCACCCGTTACCCTCCACTCCCTCCCTGCCGTGAAATCAAATTCATTGATTCACTCTGAAGCCTTCTGAAGCCACGAAAGAGCGACAAAGACACACACATATACAAGCGTGGCAGGGAGTGTCAGGGCTTTTTGTTCCGAGGAGGCACGGCAACTTTTTGGCTGTTTACTGTCAGGACGACGACTGCGCATGCTGAAGGGAGAAATGCACCCCGCACTCTGTGATGCTTTGGGTGTTAGTCAGATCTGAGATCTGTAACCAGTCGCTTTCCACTTTGAATTCAAGAAAAACTGTTCTACACATGTTCAGATGTGACTCAACCATTATTGAGACAACTATATGTAAGAGGTGTTGTAATATTACAATGTCATATTTTACATATTGTATTATGGACTCTATTTATAGAAATAATTGCCAAAGTCCAGCTGGCCAGAAGAAATCACTCAGAGCAAGAACAAAATGACTGGACTCTGAAGTGACTCACACACTGGCCACAGTCAACTGACCACATATGGCCTTGGTTTGCTTGGGACTTAAAGTGCCAATCCTTTGTCCAAACTGGTATGAATCACGACTAACCAAACCTGACAAAGAATATTGGGCGAGCGCTGGTTCACCAACAGACAGCCGATGGCGGAAAACAGGAGACTGTGCAGACGACAGGTCTCAGTTGGCCGAATTCAATTAGCTGGCGGAGTAGCCTTTATTAGACAAGAGGAAGTGGAGAGCGATAGGAAATGCAGCAGGGATCCTGCTGAATAGGTTGAATAGGTGTTAAACATGCTCTAGTACCTGGAGCCACTTACAGATTGCTCTGTTATGGCCGTGCTGGGATGACTATAACATCTAAAATTAACATAATAAATTATATGTGTCCATGAGGTTTTGCCGTGGTTCATGGTCCTTAATCATACGGCCCTCTCTGTTGCTGACCTCGCTTTAAAAAAACTGAATTATTTAGTCACACTTAAGATTTGTCGGCTAACCTACTAAGCAGCTATGCTAAACTGCACATCTCTAAAAGGTTTGACGTTAGATTAAACGTAGAAATAACATAAGTCAGTGTTTCGCTGCAGCCTACCCACAGACAGTTTGGTTTTCTACCCTAATGATGGGTCAGTTCAACAGCTGGCTGTTAATTTAACTAGGTTTTCATCGTATAATACATGTCCACACCCTATTAAGCAAAAATAAACAAACATTTGTCTGACATACTGCAGCATCCGGATGATTATGAGTTGAAGACAACAGAAACACCTCTTTGATGGACTTCTCCAAGGGAGTAACACCATTACAATGTGTTGCCTGTTGGGGAGTCGTGCAAATGCACGCACCCAAATGGATACGTACCTATGCGCACAAAAGCAGTTTTATCCCCCACTTTAGTCTGGTCTGACACCCTGCGTGAGCAGCCCCGGGCACAGGGAGTGTGCGTGTCATGTGAGAAGCTGCTGCGTGCCACCTGGTGCGACTGAGCTGACAGAATAGAACTAAGACAGTAAAGAGAGAAACTAAATTGGCTCTGGCCTCTGTCTCATGAGTAGCCAGCTCCTGGGTTCGGCGGGCTATTCTTATAGAGGGCAGGGAGAGGTCTCCTGCTCCCCAGGTACACAATCCATTTTATAGAATCCCACATCATGTTTGGTTGGTCTCCCGGGACTGTGGGGGAGGTGTTACACAATGACAAGTGTGATGGAGGAAAAGCAAATGTCACACCAAGTCAGTGGATTTTTAAATGTGTAAAAGGCTGCCTTTAATTTTCAGTCTGTCTTTATATGAGCATGTCACATTTTTCCGTGTTTGCACTATGGACCTCCACAAGTGTAGTTTCACACTATTTAAATCTTAAAAGAAATCCAATATATTGTCACTGCACCAAATCTACAACAATGACATCTTCTGTCTCAAGTATTTCACAAAAAATAAAGAGAAATATTGGTTTAGGCATGTTTCCATTTATTTAAAAAAAAAAAGGGAAAATCTCTTTTCCATATTTAAATATCTTCTATGCTGGTACTGGCCATGCTATTTCAATATCAGCATTGCATAAGACAGAACATATGAAAAATAAAGGATCCCCCTTAGAATATCAGAAAACTCATTAAACTTTGGGTTATTTTATGAGTTTATTGCTATTTTTCCTCATTTTATGTTTTATGTGTAAATAATTTTATTTTTATGTGAATCAGAACAGTTAATCGTAACATATAAAGGCGAAAACGACCAAAACTTGTGCATTTTGGAGAAATGGAGCCTTCAAGTACCTCGAGTACCTTGATAATTAGTCAATGCTCTCTCTTTGAAGAGATCATTTTAGATTCGTGTTAGGCTTAGAAATCCATATACATGTTTGAGACAGAAATAATTCAGACATGACTACAAGGATAATGTCAATCTTTAATGGCAGGTGGCCTGAAATGTCTTCATTTAACATTTTCATAAAAACTTCTCAGTTTGATTACGTTTTTTTTTTTTTCCATAAAGGTTCAAACTAACAAACCTCTGCAATTCACTGAAATAGTTTCTCCTTACAGTGGCTGAAGTACATAAATATCAACAGTACTTTATGACTTAAAAAAAGAAAGAAAGAAAAGAACACACACATGCCATGAACATGCACAACAAACAGTTACACACAGTATACGAAACCAAGGAATATCTGTCATTGACAAAAGGAGGGATCATCATATTAATTTTCCAGGAACTTCTGTACCATATCGCTGGCAAAAAGGTAAAAAGTTCCATTTGTTCGAGGCGCATTTTCTTCTCTGGATTTCACAGTGAATTGTGTAGGAACAGTATTGACATATTACACACAGACTGTTTCAATCAGCTACAAAACCAAAAGGGAAAGAAGCTATAGAAAAATGATCAAATGAATATACAGCTTAACTTACAATAATACTTACATTGAATTATAAGGTGGGAATCTTCCACAAACTTTATAAAGAAAATACCCGATAAAAGCACACACACCCCCACACACATATTTCATATAAATACTTGTTCTAATAAATTTGGCGCCACACGTGGCTTCTGTAAAAGCAAAGTCCACTCAGAGAATCACTTGATATGATATACCTGTATATGATGCATCTTAATATTCGTTACGAACACTAACTAGGTGATTTAACCATCCTACGATGATTTTACAAAACTGGGCTAAACAGGCAAGATTGTGTCTTACAGCATTTGAGTTTTTGATGGTCACACCTTTGAAATGTGACGTTATCAGAAAAGTACAAGAATCACTTTTTTTTTTTTGTACAAGTGTGCCAAGAATGATCATTTTGGCTTCAGGATGTCACAGAATTAGGATCACTCCATGATATGTCATACAGCAGAGACATTATTGCAGACCCAGAGACACACCGGATTACAAAAGATTTCTTTTATTCTCCCCTTCTGCCTCAATCATTACTATGTAAATTCAAACTTTACAAAAACAGGTTTAATCACATCGTCTTCCTAAAAATAGTCGAAAGAAACTAAATTGCTTAAAGTGATTTTCTTTTCAGATGCAGCGTGGCTCTTTGGAGTGACACCAAAAGGGACATGCAGCAAAAACAATGTCATACTTCTTAAACAATCAGACCGAGAACTACAAAGCAGTCGGAAATGAAATAATTCCACAAGCCTCGATATCTCCAGTGTAAAAAAAAAATGCCTTTGGTCTTTTGTTTCTCTATACTGTATTTTTGTCCTCCTGCTACACAACAAAGGAGCAAATTCCTAATAATAGCAGGGCGCAGTTTGCCAGGTTTTGCCATCTCTGGGGTCACTCAATCTTAACCACTGATGGCTTATTCCTGTCAATGCCTCTTTTAACGTGTCTGATTTAGGAAACTGCAAATTTGTGAACTTGATCAGGTCGTCACTCAACGTCAACGTTGCCACACAGCCGACTTCTGTATAGAACGTTGGTAAAACACACAAAGAACCCACACAGTTGTGTAGTAAGGACATGAAACACAGTAACAGGGCCGCTTTGGTATGGCAAGGTGATTCATCCTTTTTTTTTTTTTTATATAACGGCACAAAATGTATTGGGCAAAAGAGTAAAAACTATGAAAGCTCCTCGCACACCTCAGCACAACAGAAATCAAAACATTTCAACATTGTCTTGATTATTATAAAAATACCTTTTGTATTTCTTTAAAATATCTAAAAATGTACAGCGTTTTTTTCTTCCTTTTTTTGTCTTTTTTTTTTGCAAAGTCATGCTTCAACATGTATTTAATAATCATAATAACATTAATATGAATGATATACAGAATAGGAATAATTATAGTCATATTATAACATATCCCGGTAGCACTTTGGCCACACTTCCACCCGCCTGGCCGCGTTTCAACCCCCCGGTGGTCAAAGCGAGACATCTACCAATGTTAAAAAGGCCATGCAGCCGGTGGGCAAACAAAGGGCGAGGGGGTGCAGCCAAAGTGCTGCCCGTAAATCTTGAGTACGTAACAGTATAAAAAAAAAGAGAAAAAAAGAAAATCAAGGGTTGCAGGGAGCTTTGCAGGGGTTGGGGAGGGGGCTTGATGTGTGATGGAGGCTGGGGTCTAGTATGTCCTGAGGCCCATGAGGCTGCTACTGCCTGACAGGAAGAGACAGAGAGAAAAGGGGAGAGGTTGCCATGGTCACCGACATGAATCTGGTACACTAATGAAAACACGAGGGATGGTGTGGAACTGTTGCACGACACTTACAGATTCCCAAAAACCACAAAGTCACATGCAAAGGTAGACGCTCTAATGAACACGCAAACCCGCAGTCTCGTTTTCCGCTCAATTTCCCACTTTTGCCCGTTTTTTAAAAAATGTTTGCACCAAGACAACACGCGCTTGCATCCCGCAAACATCTAATTCTGGGTTTGTTTCCAAATCATTTTCAGCCGTGCAGGAAGCTTGAACATGCTCAGATGAAAGCTGACAGGGTGTCAATATGGCTTGGTGCTTCTGCTCATTCCAGCAGATGTCTTTGGAAGGGTGGGACTTTTTTTCCCTACTTTCGATCTCTCTCACTTTCTCAAACGTGAAACAAAACGACAACAAAAACAACAAAAAGTTCACACGTTGTCCGCAGCTGCACACTTCCCCATTGGCTGGCTGCTGCGCCTCAGGGCGGAGGCGCGCTGCTCTGACGGTGAGACCTGGCCCTTTTGCACCCGCCTGTTGGGATCAACGGTCACCGAACGCTGACGGGTAAACTCACCGACGGTGCGCTGCTCCTAGATCCGGAGTCAGGTCGGTCCTCTTGGATTCGAATGGGACCACTGAGAGGCAGAAGGACAACGCCCGTCACAGCCGGCCACGGCCGCCATCACACATCAGGAACCTGAGGACACAGAGGGGGCTGTGAAGGGTGGCCGCGGGGCTCTGGCCTGCTCTGCCTTCCAGCCCTGACCACAACTACAATGTTTGGGGGTTGTGTGGCGTTACCTGCCACTTAAAAAAAATAAAAATAAAAAAACGCTTAAAGCCTGAACAACCGAATAAAACCACCGAGTTGCTCATGATTCACAGCAATTTTCTTTACAGCTGTAACAAAATGTGACTAAATTTCTTTTTTCCCATCGGTCTCGTCTCTGTAATGCCATGCTGCTTCAAACTGAAATGTCACACAGGAAAACGGTCTTTATTTTTCTTTTCTTCTGGACACAAAATCTTTTTTTTTTAAATTAGTTAGCCCATGTCAACAAGTGACATCTGTGGGTTGGGCCTTGCCCTAAGTCCCAACCTCTCTTTCCTGCTCCAACTTTGTTTCTCTCAGATGTCTTAAGTACTTGTGTTAAGCTTCCGCCTAACAGCCATATCTCCCACGACCACACGCACCCCCCCCCCACCACCACCAGCAGACTGAGAAGAAAGGTCAGACCTCCAACTCCCTAACCAGATGTATCACCAAAAATAGGCGTCTCGCAGAGACTCTGGTAACGCGAGTTCGGAGGAGAGAGGGGGACCTCTTTGGAACAATAAACAATTAGGAAACCAAACATGACCTTAAGCGAAAGAGACAGACAGACTGTTGAAGGCGAAGAGGACCGGCGACTTGGGAGCTGCTCTCCCCTCAGAGAGCCGGGCGGCTCGACTGGCCCGGCCCATGCTCCATTGCACATTCAATCAGGGATGAGAGAATCGATGCGCTGCACAAGCGCTTGGCTAAACTGATGCGACGCATGCTTCCAGATCACCCTGTTTGTTCTGGCTGAGACACCAAGGTTAAAGATTGGGTTGATCATTGAACATGTCTTTGTGGATTAGGAGCAGGTTTAATGATTCGCAGGCTTAATGTGTTACATCCAATAACTCAGCCAACAGGCATAATGTGAGATGGGCAAACAGGCAGCGTTTGAGGATGTGGGAGCAGACTGGCGTTCTCATGTGCTGTTTCTTTCTTTATGTTCAACCTGGTTTCTGGTTTCATGTAGCGAACGCTCCCGCTCATTATCTCTGATTATTGATCGTGTGCTGTAAATGAAGGACAGAGGACAGGCTGAGTTAGGCTGGTGATAAGCACAAATTCCAACAGGTAACAGGTTCCTGCGTCCTCTTCTACATTCTGAACACAAAAAAGAAAATGTGTGGCTCTGACTTGGTAATCTTTTACTCTGTTTCAACATTTATAAGCTTAACAACCAATGGGTTGCTCTGAAGGATGCTTTAAGAAATTGAAACAAAAAAATACTAGCATCAGTATTATTAGTATTACCAGTCAACCTGCCTTAACTGGAAGTTTAACTGTTTTCTAAATGAAAATAAAAATATGCTCATTAATAGGTTTTTTGGGTTTATGAAAAAAGGCTATTCTTAATACTGAATGCTTTGTGAAAAAGGAAAATAGTGAAAGTCTCAAATATCCGCTGCAAACACACCTGATTGCTCCCTTAATATGTCTACCTGTGCTGTGCTGTGTGGCCGAGAAAAGAACCTGCATCTGAGGCCCCTTTAATCTGAGGAAAAGCCTTTAGGCTCAGCTTGTGGTTCTCACATTCCGGTGATAGCTGCTGGAGTCGGGTGGTGATGAACGCAGCTGCTGACATGCGTCTCGCTCCCGCGACCTGTTGTCATGATGGAGCTATACTGTATACTGCTTCGGTGTTTGTGTGTGTGTGTACGTCTTTCTGTCAGCATGGGGTGGAGGAGTGAAGTCCCACTTCCTCATTAGAAAGGGCCCCAGCTGGCCTTGGGCTCTCCTTCAGTGGGAGTTTGGTCTGCACTGCACAGGAACTACTAGTTCTGTCAGGCTACTGGCCAGAAACCTCCTGAGGGCAGACGGCCACTCAGGCGGCACACACACATCGGTCTCTCTCAGGGTCACGACAGGGGTTCAGGCCCACCACACTCCTCCGCTGCCTCTTGTCAGATGGAAAAATCAGGGTTACCCCTCCCCTGGAGTTCAGCAGGCATTAACGTCCGCTGTTAAGTTTGTCTTTGGGCCGAGCTCCGTGCCAGAGCATTAATGTCGTCTGTGGTTCAGCTTCGCTACAATTACGAAGAAAAACTGTACGAAGCTTTGCGGGGAATTTACAAAAAAATGCTTAATAAAGTCTGTGAATTCAGCTTTCAGAATGGCACTTGCCAAGAGAAGCTGAATACCTGGTGATGGGGTCAGCTCACTGCTACTTGTTTGGATGAAGACTCGCTCATTTTCAGCTGTTTACACTCCCATTCAAGTCCCCTAACCCCTGATTATCCCCCCCAAGTTAAGCCAAATACTCTGAATGGTGAGTGGTCCCAGTTAAGCAGATTCCAAGATAACCACAGACCAAACCACAAACCTCCCAAGTCTCTGGATATGAAACTGCCTTTGAACATCTGGTGGGAAAATTTTCATCTTCAACATTTCAAATTTGTAAATGTTTTTTTGTGAATTAGTGGTTACACAAGCTGAACACTAGAGGAGTAACATACACATCTCTCCGTCACCTTAGTCCAAGTTTACTCTCGTCCTCCTGCAGCTGAAGAGGTGTTTCACAACCGTTGCATAAATAATGATACTCTTGCGACATCTCGCTTTAAAACAACACGTAACTGAAGGAACTGACCCGTGGACTTGACTTTCTCCATCTGACAGGCAGGAAGGACAAAAAGAAACACAAAGACGTGTTTGCAAAGCTGCAACATGTCAGGGACAGAGCTACGCAGTGAGGTTAACTCAACAGCATGCTCTCTGGTTGGGTTTGACAGCCTGGATACTCCAGCAACTCGAGTCAATTCATCTTCACTAAGTGAGTTTGTTTGTGAGCAATGGAGCTGAAACGCAGCGTTTAAAAACGCCCCTGACCTTCAGCTGTGGCTCAACTTGCAAGTTTCACTATTTTTTACACCAAAGCGATTAAGTCAGTGAGAAATATCATAACATGGTTTGCAGGAGTGTTGTTCTAAAAGTGTTCTGTAAAATAGATTCAAATGCATTTCAAATCTCTGAAACATCTGTCGTCACCCAGATGCTGGGGTGATGGGGGTGTTCAGCTGGGGGTGTTCTCTGGAGGAGCCGCAGACCCCTGTGAGAGGAGTTTTGGGGGAGTAATTCTCTAGCGGAGAGGCGTTCCAAAGAAAAGATTCTCACTTGTACTTAAAAATCCACATAAAACTCTCCCAGAATAAACAGAGCTGTCACCACTATCGCGCCGTAGTGTGGAGAGCGGTAACCCTCTGTTTGGTCTCCGATGTGAGACTCTGCTGTAATCATCACGATATCGTGACTGAATGTCTCGGCTTTACCTCACGCTCTGCATCGAGCAGGATGTGGGGAAGTTGTCATTTCAGTGATGGGTTAATATCCACTGGGGCAGCCTGGCTGGAAAAACGACTTCCTCCCGGTTTGATGGAGTAATTATTTCCTCCAAGCCCTTCCCTTCTCCACTCCCCTCTTTATGTACCCCACTGAAGGGAATGAAATCCCACAACATCAGGTCATACCAAGAGCTTTTCTATCACGCAATATACTCAAGTCTCCCCAAACAGACATATAAGCTATGGCGCTTAAAGAGGGGACGGTGGAGGACTAGCACCAATCAACAGCTTGGTGCATTTAGCCTCCAAGCTCTCACCACCACCCAGCGACTCCCCGCTAACTCCCTCTGGAGTTCGGGTGAACATGTCTCTTCCTGTCCCGAAACACTGGAGGATGGGTGACAGAGTAAATGGCGCCGCACGTCCACACAGAGCCAGCCAGCACAGATACGCCGGCGAGCTGGGGATTTGTTGTGCTTTGTTTTCCTGCAAGCAGCATGTTTACAGCTGACCCACGTACCTATCCAGGCACTTCTTAGAAGCCGAGTGCTCAGCGCCGTCTGGAGCTTCGCGACAATAATTCATCTGCAATTTACTTCAAATAAAACCTCGCGCTTATCATCTTTTTTAATAAAGACTCATGAAAATCACTCTTCCTGCAGCACCAATGTACGTCAGTGGTACGCTGAGCATATTCCACATTTACAACCCCTGATCACACCATCCGTCTCTCTCTGTCCCTTCCCTTTTATTATCCTCCGACGTGTACTTTGTGGGAATGCAGATATGCCAAAATGGGAGTTCGAAATTAGAAAACATATTTTATCCTGCCAGGGGTTTGACAAAATGACAAACAGGTCCTAATATCTGCTGTTTGGTTCAAATAATACTCAGTTTATAATGGCAATTGTAAGACTGTGCTCAGGATTATAAGATTACATACAAGCCCAATAAATTTCAGGCATCCATCCACAAGCCGGGTCTGCGTAGGCAATCATTTCCTACACCGCTCTTTTAGAAACATTTGCCACATCATGCACTGTTACTAAAGAGCCATTACAATGTGTAGAGACAAATATATTGATCTGAAATAAAGAAACCTAATAATTTAATCACCATCGGAAGGATGACAGTACATCAATAATCCTAACTTAATGTTAAGACATTAATATTTTTATTTCAGCTATTGACTAATTGAATGGTAGTGCCCAACTGTCTAATAACATGAATTAACTAGAAACTAAGAGAAAGTGGGACTGAAGATGGTCAGGTGGCTTGAACATGACTCAACAACTCTGCCAATGTATCGTAACTAAAATATCCTGAGTAGTAGAGCAATTATTAGACGCTCAGCATCTCAGTGCCTTATTTCTCACTCACACATCCCTGATGGTGGACCTGCCATGTTTGACAGCCAACCTGAGACTCTAAATTTTACTGAGGGAAAGTACAGGGGCAGGTACTAAAACATGGATTGTTCCCACATTGGCGGAAACATTGCCTACTTCCTACTGCACAGAACAGTCAAACCACACTCAGATAAAGATCAAATTTCCACCCATCTATTGATCCACTCTCCGAATCAAATCGTTTACGGACTGTAGTAGCAAACAGCTGAGAAGAGATGTTCTGTCCCCTCTTAAGCAACCTCCTTCAGCTCCTCCAGGGGGATTCAGAGCCACTCCCAGCCAGCTGGAAGATATAATCCCTCCCGGGAGCCCGGAGTCGGGCCTCCGCCCAGCTGGCCATGCCTGGTAGAGATCTAAAGCACCGTGCCCTGGAGACATCCTTATCAGGCTCCCGAAGCACTCTGTGGTCGAGCCTCGGTTCTCGTACTGAGCTCCTACTGGACTGACAAATTTACAACAAGCAAGTCCAGCCACTCCGTAATTAAAGTCATTACAGATGTAATTACTAGAAATTAGTTTTGAAATGCAAACAACGGAAGTAAAAAGCAGAAAACAGAAATACTCACGAGTGTCTCAAACCTTTTCCATGAGCTTTTCCCTCACGCTCAAAGTAGCTTTTATTAGTATTTTAGTCAGATTTGCTGATCTTTATTCAGTCTGTTTTATCAAACCATCGGCGCCGACTGATTGTAAATTCTTTTTGACTGGCTGCTTTTGATGACCCACATCAATTGTAACTTCAATGGGAGAAGAAAAAAAAAATCGCCCTTCTGTGCCCTGTGACCTGAGCAGAGAAAATAATGGAAATCCCCTCACATCTTTCATCGCTTGATATGATATGTAGGGAGGGGCTTTGGTTTTTGGCCCCATGCCACCACTTTTCCTTTTTTTGGGGCGAGTTGGTGACTTTGTCTGATCGTTTGAACTCAGACAGCAGATACAGTACTAATTCATTGGTTAGTTCGGGTGTTGGCTGGATGGAGATTCTACATGCGAGATGGAGTCACCCTCTGACACTCCGTTGTATGTTTAGGAGCATCTCTGTGCCTGTGTATACACGGTGTCATAACATTTACTGTAGAAGCTACACGACTCAACACAACATACACTGAGACATAGCAGAGCAGGGGCTCAGAGTGTGTGTGTGACAGCTGTTACTCACACATACTTCAGCAGAACTGCCTGGATTTCCATCCCTGAGGAGTTCCATCTGCAGGTGGGAGCCAACGAATCTAAACACACACAGCATTAGCTCAAATTTGTGAAGTGGTCCGTTGGCTGACTGTCAGGCAGCTTGTGTTGGTGACATTGTCAAAGACCAAAGCCATATGAAAGATAAGGAAGCTGGAAGTGTTCTGTTATCTGTACATTACATGTGGGATAAAGTTAGCGGAGTGAGGTCAGTTTACAGCGATGACACTGTAAAGAAGGAAACATCTGTACTAACGGTCCAACAATAACAGAGCACACATGTCAGCAGTAAACAATCTGTCGCATATATCAAACCCTGTAAATCCCTCAGAGTCTGAAAACTTTGCAGGAGTTACTGCTCACTTGTCCAGTGACATAATTTTCTCTGTAATTCACACCATTATTTAATTTAATTCAAATGATTTTTACTATTTGGAGAATAGAAGATGACAAATGTGAGGAGTGTGTATGTAAACTGGTGGCCGTTAGCTTTCTGTTGTTACTCAAACACCCAAAAAGAGTAAATTCTACAACTTCACTTTTCAATTACATATTAGGTCTTTTCTGTTTTTTTTCTTTAAAGAAAGGCCCAAGTATGGCAGCTTAGGTAATAGCTGCATGCTAACATGTGTCTGCTTGTCAGCTATAGAATGAATTAGGGAATAGATACCAACATTTACATTTGCTTATGCTATAAAACATACATAAATAAATATAAACATGGTTATCTGACAAACACTAGCTGGAGCCAGTCAAGCTGAAGATTGATGAGCCCCTATTAAAAATGTCTAATGTTGATGTATCTGCTCCTGATCAGAAGAGCCGACCCTGTTCTCAAATTATAGAGATGGATTTTCTTTGTGTCCGTGTGGGCACGCTAATCATATGCCTATGGAAAAATGCAGTGTAGGCAGATTGTACTTGCTCTCATTTCAAATTCTGACATCACCTGAGCCTCAATCTGTGTGTGTCTGGGGGGCTTTTACAGTTAAATACCCAGGTGCCAGCAACACATGAGGACAGATGTTCTATATGTGGATTCTGCCTGATTTAAACTAAATTTATTTTGCTTTAAGGCTTCAAACTGCTGAGCGTTCAATGCAAATTGATCAATAAATATGAATAACAGTGAGAATGTATGGAGGGTCAGCTTCATGAGAAGAATCTGAAGAAATCAATACCCGACTCTGGTAAAGCTGTGGTTGAAGCCCACAGATTAAAGCACCTTGATTAACTGGATCATGTTTTGTTGAAAAGAAAAGGCTCATTAATGAGGCGCACAATGGCAAAACTATGATGTAAACCTTTTGTGTTGCGTTAAAGAAGCCACTAAATAAGTCTGAATTTTAATCACCAAAACTGTAAACTTGGCAATCTTTTTTGGGATGGTTCTGGAGCCCTGCATAAAAAATAACAATTTAATTTAATTTAATTGAACTTATTTTATGTATTTATTTGTGGAAACCAAACTGAACGAATGATTGTCAGACACTAGCATGTTTTTAAAGGACATGCATATCTTTTCTAATTTGTTTAATTTTCTTCTGGTAGGTCACTGAATACGGCTGGAAGCTACTCTTAAGAGATGGCCCAAAAAAAGTTCAAATGATGGAGCGTGTTCACAACCAAGTTAAGCACCGTTCAACATGACTGGGTGGGGACATAAAACTGTCAACAGCTGCCTTTTTTTCACCAAAAGACCCTCTGCTTGCATTAAAAAATAAAGAAAAATTATAGCGACAGTCTGAGCGTGCTCCCAGGTGCATCTGTAGCAACGAAAGATTTCAGGCCTGCCGACAGGCGGGTGGACGTGGCGGGTGGTGGTGACGGGGCAGCGGTGGGGGGGGGGGGCAGGAGGTGGGACTTGTGGGTTACCTGAGCGTGGAGCGAGGAGGGGTAGGTGAAAGCGGGTGGAAGGGCCGGCGACAGCTCAGCCGGGTACAGCGGGTATGACGCCCACACGTCTGGGCTGCTGGGATATAGAGCAGGCACTGTGAGCTCATCTGTGGAAAGAAGAAGAGGAGGAGTGGAGTGAGGAGGGTGCCAAGTGAATGGGAGGGTGGACAGAGAGACAGGGTGGAAGTGGCTGTGATGGGGGCGATTGCAGAGGTGCGTGGTGGTGGTGGTGCTGGTGGTGGTGGGGTGGGGGCATCGCTCATCTGAAGTTGAGTCCTCTAACTGGGCGCACATTAAACCTCAAGCCCAAACAATTTGTCCAAACATTGTTCGGTCTTAGCAACTGCAAGTAGACACGGCGAGCCTGTAAAGCTTCGGATTACTCCTCACATCGGAGAGGTTTACATTAGCGGGGTATTTTTGTCATAACCCTTCACAGAACACAAATGTAATAGGGGGGACATAATGAATGGAAAACAAGCAGTTCATCTGCCTTAAGCTCCGACATGTTTGTCCACTAGCTCTTGGCCTCTTCTGTGACTCAAATACTAAATAACTTTGATAGATTTTCTGTTTTAAAATCATTCTCTATAATAGTACAGACGCAAATGAGTCTTAACAACAATGCTCACAAATAAATATCCAACCACTGAACCCATAGTAAGTATTACTTTAATACAGAAGATGTATTTGCCCCTCTGACAACATTTTTTTTTAAAAATAAAACTGATTTTATCCATATAATAGGGCCAGTTTACTCAACAGCAACCTAAATCCACAATGTGTCATATTTGCCAAACATTTTCAAGGTCTTATTCTCACACATGAACAAGTCCTGTTGTGCTAATTTCCTTTAAACGTACACTGAAGTAGCCTTGGAAACAAGCAGGTTTTAGCTTCCATCTCTAAAAAAGCACACACCCCCTTACCAAAAGAGTTCCCATTCTGTTTTATGGCTTATGACCTCCAGGAAAACCTCCACTTTTGGATAATTTTCCATAAAGCTATCACCCAGCATTTCAGGGTCGGTATTTCACCCAGTATTTTTTACTAGCACAATTGATCCTCGGCTCACATTTACCGCCCGCCTTTGTGTGTCTCTCTCTGAGGTCAGGGGTCTGCTAATTTACGAAGGCCCCCCTGGTAAATCTGGCACATTACAACTCCACACCGTCCAATGTGAGGAGGAGGGAAAGCTTCACAGGCGTGGCAGCAGGCGCTAAGAGAACAGTCAGTTACACTTGGATAGTCTAATTTCATAAATATCAGGGGCAAACAAGAGGAAACCACCTCAGACATGTTGATTTACTCACGAGGTTGAGTGCAAAGTGACAGTGAGAGAGCGGGGAGTGAGGAGACGGTGCCGAGCGGTACAGAGGGAGTGCACACTTACAGACGCAGAATCAGACAACGTGAAGCAACTCAGATGGCTGCACAATTAAAAAGAGCCTTTCACTGTGCTATCCATGCCTCCTGCTGACTGTTTGTCAAAGCATGATCAGAAAAATATTTCGCAGATATGAACGTCTCGTTTCAGGAAATGGCAGCAATTTCTCTCCTGATGATTACGTCATGGATTCATTAATCGTTTCCTTCCATTTTCCTCTGAGGCACCAAGTACCACCCTTTCTCTGGCAAAGAGAAGATCTAAGATAAGAGCAGTTTGGTCATTCAGGAAGAATGTACAACCACAGCTGGCCTTGTTGATTCGAGCGAATATCCTTAATCTCTTGGAAAAATGTTTAACTAGGAGAATACACAGAGCTACATTAGAAAATACCACACACACCTGATACCGAAGGCTCTTGAAGAACGGTTAACAAAGAACATGCACTGTTAATGAGTCATTAATCAAACGGGGTCCAGACGTCTTCTGGGGGGGAGCTCAAAACAAGCCAACATAGCACAGCACATGATTCATATGATGTCAAACAAACACCCCTCAAAAATGTTTTGTCAGCACGTCACCAGAACAGAGAGCACTTAAAAGTTTGAATGTTACAGAGCATTACACGTAAATTCAGTTAGCAACCACATCATTCTCCTTTTCACGTACATCCACAGCTACGAGAAAACAAAACAGAAAACGGCTCTGGTCCTGACAGAAAGTCCCTAAAAGGAAACAGCTGTCCAGTCCAGTACAGTTAAAGGAAGCAGCAGCAGAGATAGACAAAGTAAGACACGCTCAGGGACAGGCAGACGAAAGACCGGAGTACTCACATGGGTCTCTGCTAATGAACTGGGGCCCGGGGCTCTGCTGGGAAGGGGGGGGGTTTGGAGTGCCTACCAGCTTGTTTTTGGCCATCTTGGTGTTGGCCTTGGCGAACTCCAGTCGCAGGGTTTGGGGGATCTCTGGATCAAAGCGGACCCCCTGTGATCGAGCGGAAAGAGTTGTTAGTAAAAATATTGTTTCCAAGAAACTTCGGATCCTTAAAATAGTGGGAGAGTACACGCAGAGTTGAAGTGTTTGGAAGAAAATATCTGTGATTGCAGCTGCGGGTCGACCTCGAATCATCATCAGGTCAACGTGTGAGTCACTGGTCAGTGAGTCACTGAAAAGGCAGTGAGCTCTATTTGACATGTTTTTTTTAAAACTCTGGGTCAGCCAAAATAGTGGGTTTATATTAAGTTACGTAAGGTTTGTAGAGTGCATAATTTGTAGCTTCACACACCACAAGCCCTGTCCTTGAGTTTGAATATACTGTTCATATTAATCACTTTTGCCATACAGCAACACTTTTCCTCATTCTTTGTGGTTTTAATGATACTTGGAGAGTTTCACGACACCACAGGCTACGAAAAGGCTAAAAAGAAACGCGAATGTCAGAAAATCAGAGCCCTTTAGAGTGGATGGGCTATTTTCTTCCCCCTCACAGCTGATATATGATGAGGTTTACACAGTTCTTAGATGTCTTCTGTTTTCCTGGAAGGCTTGCTCAAACTCGGTGAATTGGAAGTCGTCCCTGTTGGTTGAGATTAGGGTTCGCCACATAATGACTCTTAATTTTGGTCTAAATTAGATTAGTAATGCTTTGCTTTCACAATGGTGCCCAAACAAGCTGCCTGGGTAACGCGGCGCTGCCCTGGAGTGGTGATGTGCGAAATAAAAACCCAGCAGCTGATAGGCTCGTTGCCCTGTGACATTTAGACCACAGCAGAAAGCGGCACTGCGCCGTGCCCATCGTCACTGGCTGTTGCTGAGAAATCCGACGGGATCTGGCTAGTATCAGGAACTGTCAATCTGTGTACTTTTCATCTCTCAGAATTTCATGAAGGAATCTACTCCTGAGATCTTCCTGAAGCCTTGTATACGTGCCTACATTGGATTTGAGTGTTATTATAGTTTGGAGCAACACTTGTAATTCAAATTTTCACCCCGATGACACAAACCTGGCTTGTGTATAAGGTCATTAACAACACAGGAATACCTCGCCGTGCTCCCTGCCAAACTCTGTGAATGTAATTCAATCTTATGACATTAAAGCCCCCGTTTATCGCAGTGCACGGTGAGCATCATGGCTTAAAGTGGGCCGAACATTTTGGCAAATTCCTGTTGGGATGCCACTGTAAAAAACAAAGAGGTTGTTTTTCTCTCAGATCTTCTTCAAATAACTCCGCATGAGCAGTGGTCCAAATCATTTTACCTCTCAATTACTTTCGCTTGAGGATAAACGAGGAATGTGGCACAAACAAAGGTCTTCTTCATCCGAAAACAAAGCGGCTGTTTGTGCGCTTTATTTGAGAGTAAGAAGCCAGAGCAGAATTTTAGCAGCAGCTATAAACTCCCCCCTAATTAACCTCATTTTCGATTGTCTGTAAAAGACACAGAACCGCACAAAGGTCAGATCAGCTGAGGAGAAAAGCAGCCAAGAGTGAAGCTCTCTGCAGCAAAAGAGCAAGTAGCTGCGAGGACGAGCTTCTTGGCTCGTCCCTGCAGGCTCAGGCAAAGCTGAGCTAAAACAAGCGAGGGATGACTTTTCTCATGAAAGAGGGGGGAATTAACTGGGATTGCTTTGGCTCAGTGCACCCGCAGCTTCTGCCGGTAGAGGCTACGGAGGTATAATAAGGTACATGGGTATAATGAGGTCTGAGCACACTTCGGTTTGAACTGTGTTGAATTTCCAACCTGAAGTGTTTCTTAGCGTCTCCTGCAGCTGCTGCTGCTTCAGTGACTGCACGTTAACGCCGTCATTGGGAGGTTTGGCAGTTTAGAAAAACCCTAACAGAACCTCTTCAGACAGCAAAAAAAAAAAAAAAAAAAAAAAAAAAAAAAAAAACATTCTTGCTCAAGTATTTTCAGCCTTACATTTCAATATGCAGATAGATGCTTGCAAAAACCTAGCTTATCTCCATATGACCCCCGGGATACAGCGCTCTCCCCCAAAAAACAAGAGCTCTTTCCAATTCTCAGCCCCACTTAGAGATTCTGTGGAAACACTGTTGTTCGCTCATAATAAGATGATAATTTTTCAGCTTTTCTCTTTTCATTCAGCCCAAAATATGCAACAATATCTTGACAGGTTCGTCAAAACCGTGCCGTCACTGTAGAAGAGGTGATGATTTTCTGTGACAAAGAGAAGAGGAATAACCCATGAGGTAACTAAATGGGAGAGGACAATGGGAAGACAAAGGTGTGAGAGCTGGTGTTCATTACTCACTTTCTTTCAGGAGGCTGAATAAAACTCTGATTTGCTCATCTGCCTCATCAAGGCTTTCTGCTGTGCTACAGTCTGGAATAAGTGAGATTAAAATTAAACCCCAGATCAATATCTTCTAGTTATATGTGGAAGAAGAGCTAATTTTCTCCTGACCTTGCAGGTTCCCTGGTGAAACTTAACGAGAGAGACCCTATTTTACTCAAACGGAAGCATTCAGATGTAACTGTGTTTAGAGCAGTCGTGGTGTATTTGCCTTTGCTAACATTATGCTTTCTGGATGTTATGGAAAATGTATGAGTGCATGTATTTCCATGGTATCGAATGCATTTGCACTGCAGTCAAAGAGATGCGATTCGTAGCCATCACAGGATCTGCTGGCGCCGAGTTTGTGCATGAGAGGAGCAAGAAGAGGGCACGACACTTACATTCAAGGCATTCTTAGCAGCCTCCGCCTCTGATCGACTGTCAAAGCTGACAAACCCCACCGGCTGGGGAGACAAGACGACAGAACAAAAGAAAGAAACATGGTTAAAGGCAGAAAACTGAGTCTGCATTTCTGTCTGAGTGACAAGACATGTTGTTCATTTATATATATATTTTTTTTTTTTCATTCCCAACCTCCTCCTTGTCTATCTCTCCCTCTCTTGCCCTGTTTATAAAACTGTGGCAACAGAAGGGGAGATAGAAAGAGGGAGAAAAATGCAGGCTGAACAGCTACTTTGTACAAAGAGTTCATCGTTGGACTCTCCTTTGCCCATATACGGGCAATGTGAAAGAGAGCAAAAAAGTGCATGTATGTTTTAGTATGTGAGAGGCAGAGAGGCCAGAAAAACAGCTGAAAAGGATAAAGATGGAAGGAGAAAAAGACAAACGAGAGGGGATTTTACGGGCTTGAGGTAAAAGTTACTTTGAAGACCTCCACAAACACCGCCTGTGAGGGCAATATAGTTCTGTTCACATCTATTTCACCTGCTCGAGTTTTATATTCCAATAGCATGACTTTGGAGCATGTACCTGCAATACTAATGAACAAGGGGAAAAAAAAAAAAAAAAAAAACAAAAAGATGCGGTGTGGCTGTCATATTTCTAACTGACTGCAGATGTGAACAAAGAATGCACAATTTTTTGGAGTTCGTTTGTGTGGAAGTGGAGTCTCTAAGCTTGTTGATCCCATGGGGTCATACTGCTGCGTGTGATCTGGAAAAGCAGCCGAGGGTTATGGGAATTTTGAATAAAAGGGAGTGTTGGGAGTAGGGAAACAAGTGAAAAGAAGAAATACACACGCACACAAAAAAAGAAAGAACGGACTAAGTGAAGACGTCAGGAGGAGGAAGGGCTGCAGGAATATAAATAGAAAGGGTCTGAGATCTGGCTGTTGCTATATATGGAGATGGCTTGGACTAGTGGGGAGAGACAGATCGATTGATTTACATTGCTATTGTCATTGCCATTAGTTGGGAGAAGCCAAACAAAGCCTGAAGACTCTGTCAGACAGTACTTAGTGACTCCCCACATATACTGGCATTTGTCATGCTAGAGATGACATTTCTGTAGGATAGTAACAGATGCCCTTTTTCAAACCCCGGCTGTTCAAGGCCTAGTTTGAAAACGGGGGCTTCAGAGAGGACAGCTGTGGCAGCTCTGGGACTACCTGATGCGAGCTGCTGCCCAACGCATTTCCAGATGTGCCAGGTGTGCTATTGTTAACTAACCCCCAATTATCCCTTTATCCTCAGAAATAAACTTTGGCTACTCAAACTGCTTCATGAAAAATATCAACTCATGTTAATTTTTATTAGAGCTTGACTCCTCAAGACAGAGTGTAACGCATCCACATTTCCCACTTTGTGGTATCCTCTTCTTTTAACAACACATGACGCATATGTCATCACATAGTTATGGTCTGGTATATCTTTTGGTCTAAAATATTTATTCTTCAGTAGTTGCTGGTTTTCGAGTGGTTCATTTATAACACGGAGGCCACTTAAAAAGCCAAAAGTGAGGAAACTGAAAACAACACATTAGCAGAAGTGAGGTTTTATAGATATACTTCACATAACCCCACAGTGCATGAACACGTGCCTCACATCAAAACTAGAACCATGTTTGCATAGCTGAAAATCACATATTTTCTGCTCATTTATAGCAGTCAAATTAAATCTATACAGTAAACATGTCTATAGATAATTACATTTGTAATATTTTGGATATACAGGGACACCTACTTTGATAAAAGGAAATTTAATCATCTGTAGAAAAACTATTCTAGCCTGCTGAAATCTGCTGAAGACTTAAACTTCTATAAGTAAAAGATGATAATCATCTCATGACTGACTGACAGACAGAATGCAATAAAAAAAATTAAAAAAGGAGAAATCCAACATATTTTCCAGATGATTTCTCACAGCAGCAAAAAAGAACATTTCCTGTATTTTATTCTAAGAACACTCAACCTAAAACCCAACATAAAAAATCCCCCTAAACCATTCAAACGAGAATCTCTTCATGGGAAACAGTAACATGGTAATACGTACTGATAAAAAGCTAAATTGCTTCACTACAGATATGGATGGCTTCCAGCTGAGCTCATTTTCAGTTTTGTAACCCTGGAGGCGAAAAAATCCACCATCAGTACAGCTCTTGTCAGACTGTTTGCTTCGACACCTTGGAATTCTTCTCCCTTCACATCCTTGCACGTCCCTCCAGAGTAGACTGTGATGACAAATACTCTACTTGACTGCCAAAGTTGGTGTAGCATCCCCCCCCACACACACACACAACACCACATTCTATAGAAGGTACTTCTTAAAACAGGGCGCTAATCTCTCATAGTCAACAAAACAATACCTCCTAGAGGAAAAAAAAAGGACAGAAGATATGTAAAAGTGTTGATGGGCAAGAAATGGGTGGTGTCATTCGGCCTACCTGTTTAGAGGTGAGTTTTATCAAGGAGCCTTCATAGCCCTGGAATAAAAAAATAAAAAAAACAGAAACATGATGTCACAACACATTCTCTCGGGTAACAAAACACTTTGTTTCAGGACAATGTCAAAACACTTTCTGCATGGCGATGCAACAACAGCTGTCCTTATGAGGACCATATGGCCTGGAATGTTATGTTGTACCTGATTAATTACAGCTTACTGCTCTCAACGCTCAAGATATGAAACATTTACTCAGCGCACATACCTAAGTCATTGTCTAATTGAGGGATTACATGCATTGCCATTATTCATTATTCACTTACACGGCGCAGCTCTTGCGCCATTAAGGTGCATTATTCTCGGGCGCCGATCCAAAAAGCCTGCAGCACGCACATGCACTTGACTGAACCGGAGCTCTTTGTGAATGTGACAAAGTCTCTGAGGTGAAGCAAATAGCTTTGTTTTCGTATTGCCGGCATCGAGCCATTTTTCCACACACGACACACACGCACAAGTTTCCTGTGGATCAAGATGTGACTGAACCTCAGCTCTAGGAACACAGACACTTGAACCCCGCAGGAGAGTTTCCATTGCCGTTTATTTCATCACCATTAATGGAGGTCCCATTGACTGCTGGAAAGAAAGCTGCTAAGAATAGCTGCAGCCCATCAGTTTAAAACATACAAACATACCTTAAATGGTCTGAAGAGGAGATAGAGCTCCCGGGGTTTAATATCCAGAGGTAGCCCACTGACAAATAGTGTTCGGACCTGCAGAGGACAAGAGAGAGATCATGTATTTTTCATTAACCTCCACCTGGTATAAATAGCTCCATTGTCTCTCTGACAGTCACATATGAGATTGTGGGAAAAAAAATGACAATGAACACGAGTTAAATAGTTACCTGCTCTTACATTTTAAGTTAGATTCTCAAATACAGTCAGGTTTGCCTTTCGGTTCAGCAAACACACTGCATAGCACACACTCCCTTCTACAGTATTAGGTTCTCTGGCATAATCTACAATCTGCCGTCTTTTGTGGCAGCCTCTGTTTTACATTTGAACTTTTCAACTCGCAACTCGTGTTGGCATTGCTGGGGAATTATAATATGCCGCATATGCTAGCTGAAACGGACAAAGGGAGCGCATAACTGTTGTGGTCCACGTCGAGACAGAGAAGGTGGAGGAACACGGGGGAGCAACAGAACGAGAACTTCAAACGTGCTTTTAGGCAAAGTGGGTTTTGTATTGTGTGCTGATAAGTAGAAAATTAATGCAGCTCCAGCGCTGCAGGTGCAACGCAGGTGAAACTGGTTTATTCCAAAAAGTTTCTGTTTCCAAAGGTGAACATTTTCTGGCACTTCCGCATGAAATACTTGCATTTAGAGAACACAGAGAGAAAAAGCTCCCATCCTGTAAAAACCTCAGAGGTGCAGAAAATAAGGACCTGGAGAACAGGTTGATGACTTGAGAGACAGCTGACTGGGTGTCTAAGCTGAACTCATGTGCTGATTTGAACAACTGAACAGCAGAACCGGTCTGATTCAGAGTTTTTCTTCATTTTTAGTACCGTTTAAAGTGATAGAGGGCTGTTGAATGACCTTTCTGAAACTTCCACCCGCTGGTTAATCAAACTGGAAAGGGCAATCAGTAGTTGTGTTGCACATTCAAATCAGACTGATAGAAAATTAATTTTAAAATATTTCAGATTATTTTCCTTTTGACGGAATTAACACATGATTGAGTGGATGTAATAGACATGTTACCCACATCACACAAGAGTAATCAGCTTGTTCCTGGAAGGGATAAACATGGTAAATATCTAAATGATAGCAAACAAAAATCAACATCATCGACAAAGACAAACTCAGCTTCAAGTAGCTGGAAGCCATGCAACCCTCATGCACAGTTTTATTAAGAAACACAGCCTAAGTGGACGCTAAACCAACTTGCTTTTGCACACACTCAGTTTAAGACCCACTCCGGGTCATTCAATGGACAACCCAGCAGTCATGCCGGGTGTGAACAGCAGCTTTCTTTCAACACGTGCACACCCATTAGCGCCAGTGCCAACATTTGGTGCACGCAGACATGGCAGGGCAACAACACACGGGTGCCGAAAAGCTGTGTCATAGCTCGCGCTCCACTCTGGAGACAATATGTTGGCACTGAAACAGGAAATTCTATTAGTTACATGTAATTTTGGAGGAATTCTGTCACTAACAGGGGCCCGGTAGGGTTAGCGTTGCTAGCACTGACATATCTCACACTAAACGACTGCAGCTTGGCATGCGTGAGCAAAAAAAATAAAAAATCATTTTTTATTCCAAGGCTGCTGGTGCACTTATTAAATAATTTATTAATTCTGCCATTTTATCATTTTTGGAGGCACTTTAAACCTGGAATTAATTAAAGCTGGCTGGGTGTAATAAGACAAAGCTCCAGTGCACACGAGACATCAAAATCAAACCAGAGACTGTCTGCTTCCAAGTGTCTCCAAAAGCTCCACCCTATAAATAAACATCAATAATGTCACGGTGGAATGTTTAAAATGGGGTCTGATTTCATTTAGGGCTGAATTTAGAATAAAACGTGTCGATCACACAGGGTTGAGTCAAAGCTCAGTGGTTCATTAGATACAGAATCTCAACTCAGGGGACAAAGGAACTGCTGAACTAACACTGCACCTCATTCCCACATGTAACCCGATACGCACCACTGGAGCCAAAGTCAGAGCAACACACAAACAAAGGAGCTTAGCAACTGGGGGAGCAACAGCATGGCAGACACCAAACTGGCCCAAAAAAAGCGAGAAATGCCACCAAACCAACTTTCTCACCTCAGCTCTTATCTTAAAAAAAAGGTGAGATGACCCCTCCTGTGCCCCCATGACACCCCTCCATCTCTGAAAAATCTGCATGAATAAAATCTACCCACGGTCTCCTTATAGGGAGCGAACCGGGAACAAAGTCAGACCAGGACAGTGTCACTAAAACTAGAGCAGAGCCAGCCACAAACAGCTGTTCAGGCTGACAAAAACAATTCGGAAAGGGGAAGCTGAGAAAATCTGAAAAGGTGTGTGAGGCACAATGGTGACGACAAAGCAGTCCGGTGCAGCTCTCCATCGGGACGGCTTTTCTTTCTTTGTCTTTGTGAGTGCTGCTCATGTTCAATCTACAAATGAACACTAAAAGATGCAAATTACCGTTGGAGGCCATGGATCAGATGCTGGACTCGCTCAGCACCGTTGAGACGACACATTCATACATCACTCGCAGGACTAAATTAGATTTACCGCATGTGTCTAGAAGCAAAAAGCTAAATATCAGAACTGCGCATAGATTGAGAAAACCCTCGTCATCCAACCCTTTAGTCAAGCTATGGCAGGTTTTTTCCCCTCTCTCCCCTCATGGGCACTTGAGGGCCAGGCATCCTGCACCAGTCGGGACACACAACCGCCAGTCCTGCACACACGTGGAACAATGGGACATTCTTGGCCGCATTGGAGCTCATTCCTGAGACTTCCTGACGTCAGCTGTTGTGATATATGATCGTTTCTGCATGTCCGGTGCGGAGCTGACTGCACACGCTGGTAACGCGATGATTCACAGGCAAATGTGTCAACAGCCCTCTGCCGCAGACATCTGCTGTTGATTACAGTATCGGTCTATTATGCTGCTATCAGGCCTCCGCGAAAAAGGCAGGGAGTCGTTAAAAGTGCTGCCACCACGTACGGAGAGCTTCAAAGTTTTACAGAGCCGTAAACTAAAGTGAAGGTCGACCCAAGGGGTTTAGAAGATTTCCCAGATTCGTAAAAAGTCAAAGACAAACCCGTGTCCACTCTTTTACTGGCTCCGTTTTATTGGTTCCTCGTGAGTCACATACCCAAATGACCGTAGTGCTGAGTGGCCTGGTTTGAGCCTTTGAATCATTGACCATTTATGGCCTGCTTACACTAACATGCAGGAAAGCTCGGATCAAAAACAGCAGCCCCTACCTACCACGAGCCAGCTGAGGACTTCACAGCCGGCGTAGCGGCGCAGTTTCCTGGCAACGCCTTAGCGGAGAGCGGCGAGAGCGTAGCCTCAGGCCAAAAGCATCAGATCCTATTAAGGCCACTTCTGCAGCTCGTCCTGGGGGATCCGCGCACCTCTAATCAGAGATCCTTGACTCCACAAGCACCGGATGAGGTCATCAACCTATTGATTCTCTATCATTGCACCTTTCAGGTTTTCTTGTAACAGCCTGCTGATGGAGACTGAGTCCGTGCTTAGAACAAAACACAAGTGTTTTAAAGGTAGAATCCATTGCTCAGATTAGGATTTGGCTAATATTACCGCTCTAGTAAAAGCACCGTCTAACACATCCGTCATTAAAAAGTTATTCTATAAACACCAGGGCAAAAAAATTGCCTTTTGAGAACAATGTGCATCTTTGTGCCAAAGATTTTACAAAGTGAGGATGTTTGGTTTCAGAACCACCACAAAAACATCATGAAATTAGTAAAGAGGTAACAAAAACAGCCTAAATACAGAGTCTGACTGCGGTTCAGTCTCTTAGACCCCACCAGCACAGGCTATCTTTCAGGTTTTTACTTAGATTTCTTTCAGATCTTCTATGCTGTACAAAAGCGGTCAAAAATGCTAGAAAATCTAAATATTTCTTAAGGTCTCTGATGATTTAAGGTAGAAAATTGGTCAGCAGGAATAAGAGCCAGAGGGCGACTGGCATTTAAGAATATGCTTTTCTTTAATAACAGCTCAGCTAAATGAACAATCAATAATTAAACACAAGGCCATGAGTCCAAAACCTAAAACCATTCATTTGTTAACATCAATCATATGTACATGATTATTCAAAGTGTGTGATCGGCTGCGCCACAAGCACGTGCTTGTTTGAGGGAACTGGTTTTCACATCTATTGTGCTGTAACACCTGGTGCAAACGATATCAACCCGAGAATAATGGTTTTCTTTTCTTTTCTCTACAGATACAAAAATGTCCAATAAATAAATGCTCAATCTCTTTTATCGGCACATCTTTTGAAAGTTGTCGTTGAGTATTTTAAGCTGTCTGTAGCCACGACAACACTGCGCCTGGGCGGTTACAAAGAGATGGAATAAATGACAGGCTATTAATATGCCATTTCTATTCATCTTGTTTTGTGTACTTTGTTAAATTTGCAACAACCGTCACCTGAAAACCGCTTTCTGCTTCTCTCACATATTTGCTCTGACTTTAATTGAGTGCCTCTCTGACCGCTCTCTCCGACTGAAATGGGGGACATGACCTTGTTGCAATGTGAGAATATTACTATGCGTTTCCCTCTCCCTCCCTGAGTGTGCGGGCTCTACAGACACGGTAATAGACGGAGGTCCTTCCTGCTAAATGTGGCAGGACGCAGCTTTGACCTTGAGAGGAGGGTTCAGTGATGCTTAACTTCGAAGCCTAGGAAGGATTTTAAAAAAAGAAGTGGCGATTAGCAGAACGTTAAAGCCAGAGAACACTCAGAGGAATCCTCCATTTCACATCCAGAGTCATTACTTTTAAATGCAGCTCGTGTGTGACCGAGCTGAAATCAAAGTCTTCCCCTTCGGCCCACGAGAGCTCAGGTTCAAGTTGAGTTGCATCAGTTGTGAGGCTCATCATCAAAAGCCGTCGAGCTGACAGACTCCCGCATCCCCCCGGTTGTCACTGCTCTGTGTTAGCATCACTATCCATTATTCTCATTGGGTTTTTTTTTATTCATCTTCCATGTCAAAGAATGTGACG